TTGATCCGTTTGTTTTATTATTATTTTTTAAAAACAAATTAAAAAAATTTTAAAATATTTTACTAGTATTTTTTTCATGAAATATTAACTTTTCACAAAATATGAGAAAATTAACCATCATTACGAGAAAATAAAGAAAAAGCAGCGTTTTTATGACTAAAAATTAGCATTTTTATATGTCGTTAAAAAATGTTCTAATGTTTCTAAAAGCGCCACTGAGACACTGTTCAAGTAGCAGTTGTCTTTTGTCCTCATCAGCATTTTAAAATTTTTTTTTCTTGTAATGCACCTAAATAAACTTCTTTACAGAAGTTTTAAAGATTCTCGCAAAATAATTTTTTATAAAATTTTTAATAAAACATTTTTTCTAGAAGAAAAAAACTCCTGCCAATCCAAGCCTTACAGGAACTTGGGGAGTAACTCATTTCCTTTCATTGACCCTTCTCTCCTAATGTAGATGTTGATCTCAAGTTTTTTTTTTTCCTAAAAGAAATAAATAAATTATCAAAAAAATATTTTTGACATATCTCTTATTGTCTTTTTTTTTTTTTTTTTTAACATTTTATCATGGGACCGACTCAAACCATTACCTTGGGGGAGGAGGACACGGACCTTACAAGCGTGGCTAGAGCCACTTGACTCGAAGGGCCAGGTCCTATCTCTTATTGTTCTTTTATTAAGTAAAAAAAATCAATTTGCATGAAAATGTAAAAAAATTGATCAAAAAGAGCAATTCCATGCTTTGCTATGGGACAATATTTTCTTTTTATAGATACACAGCGTGTCCTACCCAATCTCTGAATGGGACACCTCTAATAGAAACAAAGCACCAATTTCCAAGACATTTGCAATCTCTGAATGAGTTATAGATAATATGGATTGTGGAGGAACCTTTTTTGGCCCATCCCTCCTTGCCATCACTGTTATGTTGTTCAATCAACACATACAAATATCTTTTTTATCTATTTTTTTTATTGATCATATAAAAATATTTGTCTTTTAAAAAGTTAAAATAATTATATATTTAATTAATTTAATTTTTTTATCAACTATATAAATAAATTAATTTTTTTATTAAAAATATAATTTCAGCAACATAACCTATGTTGATAAAAACATTCACCAAAATCTTCAACAACATAAGCCGCATTGCTAAAAATATGATTTTAGCAATGTGGCTTATGTTATTAAATATTAGGGGGGAAATGGTTGGAATTCGGCACCGAAATTTGGCCCTATTTTCAGCAAGATAAGCCACATTGCTGAAACCATATTTTCAACAACATGGCTTTGTTGCTAAAAGTTTAAGGGGAAAGTGGTCCCCAATTTTTTAGCAACATAACTCTTGTTGCCAATGTTTCTTCCAATTGTATCAAGCACATTTTCAACAATATACCATTTGTTGCTGATGTTTATTCCAAAGTATTAACCACATTTTTAGCAACATACCCCTTGTCGATGATGCATCAAAATACCTAATAAAAAAAATTATACCAACTAATATTTTAAGCACATATTATTTATATTCACTTATATGAACTTATACCGTCAGTATTAAATTTAACAATATTACATTATTTCAATATGAAATTCACTTGTTTTATAATCACTAAATATTAAATCTATCTCACATATAATATAATTAATTATACATAAAAAAAATTATAACTAAATAATAATTATTTATTAATTAGATACATTAATAAATTTTA